ACCGAGAACTACAAAAACAAAAGCAGAACTCTAGCCAAAAATATGTCTTCAGATTTTGCCAACAGTTCTTATCGTGAAGGTTTTAGGACATCACTGAAGAGCCGATAAATGCACTAGGAATGGTTGGTTGGACACCATCTTCAGAACCAACGAAAGGTAGGCTCCTATTGATGCATGCCGGACACTGTCCACGGTAGTCTTATGGGCGGAGTTGATCACACCGCCGAGCCTTGCCTCATAAGCATAGTTCTCCCCTTCACAGTTTCAGAAGGAAAGGCGCAACAGCGTGAAAGGCAGTTGGCCTTACTCCGCCCATGCCACCATGGTGGACTATGTTTTCAGTAGATCACCTTGTTTTCAAATCATATCCATGGCCTAAGGTAGAAGAAGATAGCATTTCAGTGCCAGAAAGGAAACCAGTGGCGACCTTTAAGATGCCTGTTGCCGTTGTGATGGACGATGAAGTGCCGCCAAGTCCAAGAGAACCTATGCCACATCGCAGTGCTGGATACGGTAGGTGGAAACTGGTGTAGCTATATGAAACCATTCTAAGGATTTTAGGTCCCGCTCATCAGAAACGCAAGCTGCAAATACCGGATCGTAGCCGCAGTACGTCGCCAATGCGTGCCGAGTCACCATTGCAGTCGTACGACAAATACGCAAAGTATGAACGGCATAGAACAGGTGATCAACATGACAACCAAACAAACGTTGAAATGCCTGGCTGGTGCGGTTTGATATGGCACCTGGCCGAAGAGAAATTCACACTCATACGGGTTGAGGAAACCATTTACTATATCGATTGATCCATTGGATAAACCATTTCTCTATCTGGAACAGCTGAAGTGGAACCAAAAATAGGAATCCTCCATCGGAATTCTCAAAATGGGGGTCCCGAGCAAAAGAAGTTACCCGCCCACCTCTGTTGACTCTCCCGTTGTTTTGCCCCCTCTTAAACGTCTGTCTGTCATAAGCCTTTTCAACACAGATTCCACAACTCGCTATGGAACACAGTGGAACGGATCTGGCTTCTCCTCCCCACAGAGAAGTACTACCGACGCGCGTCCACCACATCGAACACCTTCGTTAAGCCCAAGGATTCCTGTTCCCATAGACAGGTCTATTAAAGGCAAGGATAGCTCCATAAAGGTTCCAGATATATTTCGCATGTAACGCAGCACTAAAAGGACCGCAGTAGAACTAATCGATATAGGGCAGCGTTCATGGTCGGCGACACCTGCGATCGCGCGAGTTGGTGATTAGCGATGGAGCGCAAGAAAGCGATTTCGCGACCAAATGAAGTACGCGCTCCACCTGCCAATCGCTAAACAGCTCCTCGCTCATTCTCTGCAACCAGGTCACGTCGCACGGATCGCCATCGAGAGAGTCGTATTAAGTCGTGAAAAGAAGAGATGGGGTCTTTTTGCCCTTCGTTCGAAGGAGGCCGTATTCCGTAAATTGTTCCCCAAGCACGCGGGACGGGCCTGGCTAACAGGTTCACGTACCTAGTCGATTCCGCAAAGTGCAAGTTGTCGCGAACTATGAACACTGCCTAAAAGATGAACATCAATATTCGATCGAAACTCGACTGCCGCGTTCGTGTCAGAAGCATGTTTGGGACCAGCACACCCCTCCCCCTGCACTCGCACCGTAAAGTCGCGATATTTCGCGAGTCTGATGTGTTTACCCCGAACTAACTACTCAGGAGACAACTAATAAGGAGGGATCGTCTTTGGTTACTCTTTGGCTATCCTTTTTGTGGTCATCCTTGAATATTTTGAGTTACTCTTTTGTTACTCTGCTGGATAATAGTCGGATGTGCCGAGTTTATTAGTCAGTTTCGTTGGTTTTCTTTTCCTACCAATAGGAAGTTTGCAGTCGACATTCAGGCATGGGTCGGTTGGGAGATCCACGTTGCGGCGTCGCTGAAATTGGTCCGTATTTCCTGGCTAGTTGACTTGACGCATAGATTAATTTTAGTTGAAATCGTTGCAATCATTCGGTGTCAGG